TTTGTGCTTACCTTTGCCATCTTATACTAATTTGGGTAATTAGCGAAAGCATCGGCCCCTCTTAAACAGCATGGGTTGAGGACTTTGTATTATTAATATTATTGTTATTACTGTTATTATTGTCATCACTGTCACTACCATTATCATTATTATCGACATTATCATTGTCATCATCATCATTATCATTATCATTATCATTATTATCATCATCATCATCATCAACAACATCAACATCATCTCAGCGTTACTTCACAACCTGGCTTTTTTTACGTTAAACTGCTTTCAGCAAAAGATCCTGTCATGTTTGCGAGTCGCAATTCTCGACGTAAGGTGCCAGCAGCGCATTCCAAGTGGGTACCACTTAAGCGAACGCAAAGTGAGTTTTCTGGCTTTTCAGGGTGAAAAATCTCAGTGTTGTTCAGGTATTTTGCTGTTTCCCGCCCTTGGTACTTTTGGTAGTTTTCTCACCTCCCCTTTATTTACTGTCCTTCATATGCCCTCTTTTTTTGTAGATCCTTACATCTCTGCACTCTTTTTACTGTCCGCTAAATATTGCGTCGCTACTAATTAGCTGATTAGAGAAGGCTTAAAAAAAGGCCTCGAATTGGTTGCCGGGCCTGAATTCTTGGTCGATCAGGAGAATAAGTGTGATTCCCTGTAGCAATTTCGCATACGGAGCGCGAATTAAGATCGAAACTGATGTCGAGGCCGATGTCGAGGTAGGTATCAGCCAGGTGTAACACCAAATTTTCTGCGCAAAATACTTGGCTCAGGTGACAGCCCTTCTCACCAGTTATCTCGAAATGGTAACAAAACTTGATTAGCATATCTTGATTTTTGATTATCTTCATACTTCGTATGATTAGTTCATCTGTTGTATCGGGCAAAAATTATCTCCCTAACATTTATGCGCTATTTCAAGGCCGCGTTAATAATTTTACAGACACCGGAAGAGCGGAATATCCAACAGCAGTTCCAGCGCAACACGTTGAACAACAACAAAAACAACAACAGCAGCAGCAACAGCAACAGCCAACAGATTATTCGCAGAAATATGTTGAGCCACTTCGGGTTACCGTACGGAACGATAATGCAAGCAATTTGCCAGCCTGGATGATCGAACAGCAACAGCAGAATGCGGCAACAAGCAGCAGCAGGATTTCCCCATCAATGGATCATTCACCGTGTACCGGGTATTTGGCAACTTTTTTTGGGGGAGGGGTTGGGGGGCTTTAGAAATTTCACAGTTTGGAGGGATTGTTTGAACCTTTTTTGTGGTAGCTGTGCAAAATTGGTACTAGCTATGTAGAATGGTACTCCTTCGAAACTGTCCTATACGTTTGCATGAGGATTCTATTATGTTATAGTCAAGGAACGCTTCACCGACTTAGCACTTTTCCCGCTAAGATTTTCACGTGTCCGTACGTGAGCCCCGGACAGTTCTGAGGAGCTGAGTTTGAAAACTTTTGGTCGTACATGAGTAGGTGAAATTCCACCAAAGTTTCAGCTTTCTAGCTTTTCTCATTCCCGAAATTGATTGTGATTAGAAGTTGATTGTGCCCTGGTATAGTGTAAGTTATAAGGACGCCTCATTTTTGCTGCTCAAGTACATCACTTTACATTATGATGCCCAGTAAACGTAAAAGTCAGAAGTCAAAACCGCCTCCATATATGCTATCAATGTCAAGCGATGGTATTTGGGAAGTAGCTTGAATAGTAACAAATTCGAACAGGTGACCTCTGTTTTACTGTACGACAGCAGTTTTACTGCCCAGTTTTAGTCATAACTTTATGTATGACTTAATGGACCGAAACAATTCTTACCATTATAATAATCTCAGAAATTTCCTGATTTTCATCCCTTCTTACCTTTTATAGCAGCATTCTGTCTGAAAGTAAAATTTATAAATTTTATTTATTATGCAAATACACACTGATTGTTTGCATATATGAATGTAGTATATGTGTAGGTGCTCAAGAATATTAAAACTTCCCGGATAGTCAGTGAAAGTTTTTCATGTTAGTGATGCTACTGGGGATTTTCCCGCACACAAGAAAGCGTTGTACACTTGGTAACTGAACTACATGCCTCCACTTAGTACCCCTGTTATCGTTTTGATATATAACTTAATGGACTGAAACACTTCTTAACATTATTATTACTTCGTGCCATCGTTTTGTTATATGACTTAATGGACCGAAACACTTCTTACCATCGTTTTGATGCATGACTTAATGGACCAAAATAATTTTATATTTCTTTTCAAAGACTGTCAAATGATTCTCCAGTGCTGTAGAAAAATTTATTTTCAATGCGGAATTTAAGATTTGTCGAGATTCTGCATCGTCTTCGAATGAAAGTGGAAGCAAGTAAAATGGCAAAAGAGAATTTGGTGGATAACTACGAACAAATTGGTATGGACATCGAGGAAAGTGACCGTGGTAAGTGTTGGAAAGAGTAGCATTACTGCTGGTAAAGTGGTAGTCTAACAGTCTATGCAGTATTTTATAAATTAGTTTATGGTCGCTTCAAAAAAAGGGAATGCCCTTCTTCATCTTCCATTCGCGATTCGTTGCAAAAGTGTGGTGATTAGCCAAGCTGTTCTTCGATTGGCAACTTTTTGGTTGTTTTGACCAGTGCTGCTTTGCTTGATGGACAATCGACTAGCGATCATGACATTCATTTCGGGTCTTTTTGAAAGAATTACCAGTACAAGTATTCTCTCGATACAAGCAGCTTCGAAGCTTTAACATGTGTTATAAACAGTGTGACATTTTCCTACACACTATCTTTCAACCTCCCTCCTCCCTCGCTTCCCCCCGGGCATTAGCTTATTTCACGTGAAATATTAAAGTCGAATCTTCCCATCCCCTTCTATTTTGTGCTAAGCAGCATTACTACTGGGCCTCAAAAATTGCCACTTCGAGGACGGCCATGAGGTACCGCATCGGCCAGAGTAGTAAGAACTGGAAAAAATTTTAGGAGCGCTACTGAAATTGCTAGTGAAAATAATCAAATTAACAGTATCAGAAGATGATTGGAGTAATAAATTGTTGTGGCCTTTAGAACTTAAACCTTAAATCTCAAAACCTTAAAACCTTAACCTTAAAACCTTAAACCTTAAGACCTTAAAACAAATGGACGGTCCAAAGAAATCAAGAAGGAGAATGGCCGGAATCAGAAAGTTAAAACGAAGGGTGGGATAGATTTGTTAAAATAATTTGCGGTCGTCGATAGGCCGTAATCTTTCAAATGAGCGGCTGGCCCAAAGCATGAAAAATGTGGAATGGCCACAGTCCGAAAGTTTTAACCTTGGGTGGCGCTAGGTTTAATAAGTTATGATTGGAAAAGATAGGCTGTTCTTTGTGGCGCAAAAAAAAATTTTTTTGTCATGCATTATCAGTTGTTGAAAACTGATTTCAATTCATCGTCACAGATTCAATTTTTTTTTTGCGATTTTCTGAAAATTAATTTCAAGACATCTTGTTTTTTCTGTTACAGATTCTGGATCTGGACCAGCGCCAAGAATGATTTTTGGTGGAAGCTTGCCAACAATGGGTATGGAGAGATCCGGCGCTAGTGCAGCTGCTGCTGTTGCTGTTGCTGAAACAGCACCAGATGGCGGTGATAACGAGGATGAAGCGGAGAAATTACGTGCTGCGTTGCTGGAGCAGGTAAGAATCTGTTTAACAAAGGCCTGATTTGCCGTTGGAAATTATCGCGAAAATAATCTCTTTTGCCTTGGTTGTGCGCTACAGGTTCGGATTTATGTATATGTGAGTGAATGTGTGTGTGTGCATGTAGCATGAGTGTGTGCGTGACGGGTGTGTATGGCGTAGGCGTGTGCGTGGAGATGTGTGGTGTGTGCGGCGTAGGTGTGTGGCGTGGGTGCGTAGGTGCGTACGGCGTGGGCGCGCGCGGGTGTGTACGGCGTGGATGCGTGTGTGAGAGTACAGTGCGGGTGTGTGCGAGGTGCGTGGCGTGGGTGTGTGGTGTGCGTGCGGCGCGGGTTTATACGTGGGTCTGTGTATAGGTGTGTGCATGAGTGGGTGTGTGCGTAGATGTGTGCACAGGTGTGTGTACGGCGCATGTGCATGTATGTGTCAGCAACAGGTGGCCTCCAGGTTAGGAAGATACTCGGATTTTCGAAAATATCTTGGAATGGAAAAGTGCTTGTAGTGGTACGCGGGTTTGTTTGTTCACTTTTCCGCCGCGATTTTTCTGCTTGTCGTTGACGAGTTTGCCGCATCCGGATAATTTCAAATTGGCGTTATAGATATCCTTGTATTCATCCAGCATGACGTTCGAATCGTTTTTGCATATTTGTTATTTGGCGTATTTGGGATATTTTTCCAATCCATGTGCAACAGAATCGTATTTATGCGTGTGTGTATCTGTTTTGTGGCGTGTGTGAGTGTGTGTGGCGTGGGTGTGTGACGTGGGAGTGCGTTCGTGGTGTGCATATGACGTGAGTGTGTGCGTATGTGTATGCGTGTGTGTGTGTGTGTGGTGTGTACGTGGCATAAAGCGAGCCACGAAAAAAATATTCCCGTTGCGAAATCCATGGTTTTTGGGAATCGTGAAAGTGTAGCTTTTGAAAGAATCTTTGAAAAGGATTGTCTGGAAACTCAGTTTCCCCGTATTTTCATCTTTATTGTTTGGTGTAGAAATTTAGAAACCGCCAGATTCTTAAATTTTTTCAGGTAATGAAGAAAAAGAAAGCGAAAATTCTCCCGCAGCCAGTAATAACTCTTGAAGAAGGTGAATTGAGCAGTGTGAATTCGGATGGACAGGCCGATGATGATCAGGACGTGGCGAGACGCAATTCAAGGTGCAAAATTTCAGAGTGTTTTAGAAAATTGGGGGTTTTTTTTTCGACGAACATGGTGCAGTGCTGAGATAGTGCTAATTCCATGTTGAAGTTCGGCCAACGGGACAGCTAATCCCGCAGGGACACTTGCATTCTTTAAGATGCTAAGCCGACTATAGCAACCAGGTTGACCTTGGAAGCCTAAATAGCGACAACACGCGATAGATTACAGCACGAAAGAATAGTATGAGAAAAGAACGTAAGAGTGAGATAAGACGTTTCTGTCCATTAAGTCATATATGTCTTAACAGCGCGACGCGGGACCACGTCAGCATGACGGTCACAGTGCGTAATGAAAAAGGGAAAGGAAGAAAAAAGACGAAGAAACAAAGGAAGAAACGATATGATTATAAGATTAGAAAGCATGACAGTAGCGTGAAGAGAGAAAGGAAAAGGAAAGAAAAATACAGGTAAATTGATACACTGGCATATGTCAGGAAACCAGCCCGCCATCATTTTGCTTAGAAGTTACTTTGAAAAAAGGGAGCCATCAACAGCTTTGTCAGCGAGTGGTTGTTATTGGCACGAACTGCCCCTACTCGAACTACTTCCGAGTGCCTTTACCCGCCTGTGCCTCTCAAAAGGGTTGGGATACGGGGTTTTTTTTTGATTTTCTCAACTGCAGCTATTATTACAAACTCTCTTCGCGTGTATTTTACTCTTTCTTTTTTCAGAATGGCAGATCGATATCCGAGAATATGTATAAATGAAACGGAACGAAGCAGACAGCAAATGAATTTCAAGGTTTCTTTTTTTGTTTGATAAGGTTAAATAACTGGCGAATCGATGCTTGCTGCTTTAATGCCAGATTTGATCCACTGGTGCTGATAAGCTATTTTACCTTATTGCTTGGATTAGTCTAAGACAGCGATGTTGACGGAGTGCGACCACACGCTGGTCGCATTGTCAAACTTGTTGATCTTGAGCTGCATGTCTCCAGTTGGCACACCACTGCCACTACGTAGAGCATCAATGTTTCGTTCCGAATTCCGCAGAATTAACACTTATTATTATAGTAATATTATCATTATTGTATTATTATTGTATTATTATCATTGTTTTTATTGTCATTATTAATATTATTATTATTGCTG